GGCACAAAAATAAAATGGGAAATGTGGTGTGACTATAGTTAAAAAGGGAAATTAAGGATATTACTAGATCCAAGGAAGGGGCATATAAATTGACCAAAATATAGCAGAAGAGCAGCTTAGATTTCATAAAGGGAGACAATGGGATTGATTAAGAGGGGGGAAATTGAGTACAAGGTTACGTTGGTAGGAAACATCCAAATTGGAGCGCACTGCCAGGGGTGATGGTTTAGGTAGATACGATAAAGGCATTTAAGGGACTTTTAGATAAACAAATGAATATGCAAGGAATGGAGGGATATGGACCAAGGGCAGGCAGAAGGGATTAGTTTCATTTGGTGTCATGTTCAGCACAATATCGTGGGCCTTAGGTTCCTGTGCTCTACTGTTTTAAGCTCTATGTTCCATGATTACAAAAGCTTCCATATGTACTCAAAGAGAAAATGATTAGTGAAGAAAAATATTAGTTGGGGGAAGTTATAATGAGGAACAAAGAGATGGCAGACCAATTAAATGCATACTTTGGCTCCGTCTTCACAAAGAAGGACACAAATAATATCCCAAAATTTTGGTAAATGCAAGGTCTAATGATAGTGAAGAAGTGCAGGAAATGGTGTTGAGGAAATTGATGGGATTAAAGGCCACTAAATCCCCAGGACCTGATAATCTACATCTCAGAATACTTAAGGAAGTGGCCTCAGAAAGAGTGGGTGCATGAGTGCTCATCTTCCAATATTCTATAGAGTCTGGAACTATCCCAATGGATTGGAGGATAGCTCATGTAACTCCACTATTTAAAAAAGGAGTTGGACAGGAAATGCAGAATTGTAGACCAATTAGCCTGACATCAGTAGCAAGGAAAACAGTAGAGTCCGTTATAAAAGATTTAATAGCAGAGCATTTTGAAAACAGTGGCAGGATCAGACGGAGTCAGACACTAAAATAAAATAAAATCCTGTAGATGTTGGAAATCTGAAACAAAAATATAAATTGAAACTCAGCAGGTTTTGTGGCATTTCTGGAGAGAAAGCAAGAGTCAACGTTTTGGGCTCAATGACCATTCCTCAAAATTCAGAGTTTTGAAGAAGGGTTACTGGACCCAAAATATTAACTCTGTTTTCTCTCCATTGATGCTTCAGACCTCTTGAGTTTCTCCAGCAATTTCTGTTTTTGTTTCAGATAAAGCCAGCATAGATTTATGAAAGGGGAATCTGCTTGACAAATGTTTGAGAATTTTTCAAGAATCTCATTTAGTTGATGAAGGGGAACCAGTAGATGTGGTTTATTTAGACTTTCAGATGGCTTTTGATAATGTCCTACATTAGCATATAAAAGTGAAGCTTATGGAACTGGGGGTAGCGTACTGATTGGCAGACAGAAAAGGAATAAACACATCTTTTTCCAAGTGGAAGGCAGTGATTAGTGGGTTCCTACAAGGATCAGTGTCCCAGCTATTCACAATGTATATTGATGATTTAGATGAGGGAAATAAATGTAATATCTTCAAGTCTGCAGCTGACACAAAGCTGGGTGGAAGGGTGAATTGTGAAAGTGTCTTCAGTGTGATTTGAACAAGTTAAGTGAATGGTAAATGCATGGCGCATGAAGTATAATGTGGATAAATTTGATGTCATCCACTTTGATAGCAAAATTAGGAAGGCAGATTATTATTTGAATGGCTGTAAACTGACAGAAGGAATGTACAATGAGATGTGGGTGTCCTTCTGTACCAGTCACTGCCAGTAAGCACAAGGGTGTAGCAGGCTGTAAAGAAGGCAAACCGGATGCTGGCCTTCATTGAGAAGATTCAAGTGCAGGAAAAAGGACGTCTTGCTGCAATTAATGAGTTAGAAGAGGGAACCAAATATCACCAAGTTTGCAGATAATACAAAGCTGGGCGGGAGGGTGAGCTGTGAGGAGGATGCAGAGGTGCTTAAGTGTGATTAGGCCAAGTTGAGTGAGTGGACATGGCAGATGAAGTATAACGTGGATACATCTGAGGTTATCTACTGTGGTAGCAAAGATGGGAAGGCCAATTATTATCTGAATGGTGATCGATTGGGAAAGGGGCGAGTGTAACAATCCCAGGTGCCCTTCTACACCAATTGCTGAAAGTAAGCATGCAGGTGAAGAAGGCACCTGGTATGTTAGCTTTCATAGTGAGAAAATTCAAGCACAGGCGCAGTGACGTCTTGCTGTAATTGTACAGGGCTTTGATGAGATCACACCTGGAGCATCGTGTATAATGTTGGTCTCCTTATCAGAGGAAGAATGTCTGGCTATGGAGGGAGTGCAACAAAGATTTACAAGACTGATTCCTGGGATAGGAGGTCCCACATATGAAGACAGACTGGATCAGCTAATTATTTAGTCACTGCAGTTTAGGAGAATGGGTGGGGGGACCTCATAGAAACCTATAAAATTCTAACAGGACTAGACAGGGTAGATGCAGGAAGAATGTTCCTGATGGCCAGGGAGTCCAGAACCAGGGGTCACAGTCCAAGGATATGGGTACGCCATTTAGAACTGAGATAAAGAGAAATGTCTTCACCCAGAGAGTGGTGAGCCTGTGGAATTCTCTGCCACAGAAAGTGATTGAGGCCAAAGCCTTGGCTGTTTTAAAGGAGTTGCATATCATTCTGAGGGCTAAATGAATCAAAGGGCATGAGGAGAAAACAGGAACAGGAGAGTGAGATAGATGATTGGCCATGATCATACTGAATGATGGAGCAAGCGGGCTCAAAGGATTAAATGGTCTATTCCTGCTCCTATTTTCTTTGTTTCTACGAGAGGATATTAGGCTACTTTGGGCATTGGGAAAGAGTAATACTGTTTTAGACAGGCTTCTAGGATGGGATAAAGTGAGGTTTGGGTGAGCTGTGTAGCTTATTTCTTACATAGCAATGCATTTACGAATGTGCACTTGTAGTTGCAATGAAACTTCAGCCACACCACCTACATGCTCAATGAGCCATTTATTTTCGGCTGCCCTCCCACTACAGGCACTGAGAAGGACTGCTTCTACTAACAGCAGTCACCTGGGTACAGTTGGGCTTTAAAAGCTGTGCTCGTGCCAGAAGGGAAAGTTAAATTGGTGAAGGGGAGATAGTATAGGCAGGGCACCTTTGAGGTGTGGTGTATAGGTAATGAGTCAGGTTTCGGAAAATAGAGTGAGCAATTTCACTAAGCCTTGCGGAGAGAAACTCTTCATGAAACTCACCAAAATTGACATTTAGTTTGTTTCTGGTCAAATTCAGCCCAAGAAGGGAATAAGTCCTGAAGCACAGTGCAGAACATCCACTATGTGTATCGGATACAATATGTCGGATTCGTATCATAAAATCGAAAGGGAGGGTAAAATTTCCTCTTGGGCATGATGTACAAGTTACACCAAACTTGAGCATGTTATTTGAAGTGATTTTTTTTTGACAGTTTTCCCTGAAATTTATTTTAAAATCAGCAACAATAAAAATCTTCCCATGTTGTAGTTCAATGGGGTGGAGTTTTAGAACATACCTTATTATTGCATTTGAAATATTCCTTGATTTAGATCACAAAGGTGCGATTCTCCTTTCGGAAATTATTCATTAAATAATCTGGACTGTGCTAAGAGTTACACCAGAAAATACTTACCAAGATCATCAGCTGGGTCCACAGTGTGATGCATTTATACGTGCTGGGTGCTACATACATTGATACTCGGGACCCTGTTTTATGTAGGCAAAAAGAATCAGTACGTGCTTTGCATCTTTTTCAAACAATAGGGTCATGGGGACAGCTAAACTCTACTGCATCTCCATGGCAACACCCTGAACAATCAGAATCTACTTGTCTGGTCAAGGAATAAAGATTGACAGTTAACTGTTCCTGTTACATCTCGATGGAGCGATGGCCTAACCAATCAGCCCCCTCAAAGTTTTGACAAAGATCTGTAGCTCGGGTTGTGAAACGTCTGGACGAGAATAAGCCAGCTCGGCGAGCAAGTTAACAACCTCAATCAGCATCCTCTTCTCTTGCCATATAAAATAGTGTATTTTTTTTTTAAAGTCTGTTTTTACACCCTAGAGTACAAAACAGAAAATTTCAACTTTTTAACTCCTTCTAACAATACTTAACTTCTGGCCTAACATGCATTGACTCATTAACATGTTTAAAAGTTCTGTTTTGATAATAAAATCCAACGTGGTTTATGTTTAATTGGAGGGCTGAGACTATCAGCTGTGAGCAACATGATTTTAAAAACCCCATGATGTGCATTTACCTATGAATTTGTCAAGCAGCAGTACTGCCCATGCCAAACACATGTGAAAGCCCCTTGAAATTTTAAAGTTATTTATTCCAATTTAAATATCCTGACAATTACTTGGAATTCCAACAGTCTATTTGCCTTATTTTACTCTGTAGAAACATTGGGCTCTGGTTAACCAGTACACCCACATTCCCATTCTGATACATTGTCAGTAAAGTACCTACCTGTATTCTACCATTTCCCACCATTTAGAACCGCCTACAATTTATTTTATCTGCCATTTGTTGCAAACAAACTGACTACCTCCAATTTCTCCTGAATTTGGTTCTCATTATTTGGCATTTCTCCCATCTTACCTACAAAGCTGGACGCTTTTGAATTGACTCCAGTTTAATCAAGCCCTCTGGTTTATGATTGACAACTGACTCCTAGCCGAATGGCTTTTGATCAATAACTTTGGAAATTCCATGTCAAGCAGTATCTGCAGAGACAGTTCCAAAGTTAATACTTTGTTCTGAAGCTGTTTCAGATTTCAAACATTTGCAATATTTTGCTTTTCAATACATTCCCATCTGGCTATCTCATGCAACTGATGCATTTGTGAATGGCAGGCCAATTAATACTTAAAATCCAGCTAAAATTTATTGTCCTCCCAAGGTGGTAACCTGAACAAAGAAATGGCAAGTTAACCAATTAAAATTTGACTTTGAGAACACAAACATTCATAATTTAAAATGATCAAGAATAAGCTTACCTCAGAAGTGCTATCCTGAGTAAATGTTTCAGATGCTTTCTTTGATGCAATATCACTGGAAGAAGGAAATGGTTTTCCCATCATCCTGGGAAATGTCTGTTGAGTAGGAGGTTTGATTCCAGACACCATCAATCCAGTGGTATATATCCTAGTTCTTTGCAACTCTGGTCTGTATCTGTCATGAGCAGACCCAGGAACACTGAGCACAGAGAGAGGTTTATTTTCACACACAGAGGTCTTGTGTTCTTTTGAAATGCACGGTTTAGAAATTGATTCGGTCCAAGTTGAAAGTTTTGGAGATAGTCCCAGAGCATCATGGATAGCATCAAGTGGCTTTACCTGAAGTGGCTTCCGAATGTATGTTATAATTTTAGGTCTCACGTACTTGGGTTTAGGAGTGGGTTTAGCTTCAGTCTTTCCTTCAGGCATGGGCTGGTAATTTGTTTCTACCTCTTCTTTGTCTGTTAGAACAGCCCTGGGATGCTGTAGTATTGGTTTTGGGATTCCACTGTTGCAAACAGCTTTATCAGAAGCTTTAGAGAATGAATTTATTATCTGCATGTCGCTTATTGGAGGTGGTAGCGATGATTCTGATAAAGTCCCAGCATTAAGCAGTGAGATTTCCTTAACACCAGAATCTGAGGACTGATTGGCAGCTTTCATATTTACCGTCTGCTGAACTTCTGTACAAGTCATAATTGCAGGATTTACAGTCTGAGAGACTACTTGGCTCTCAGAGGGCGGAAGCTCTTCGGAAATCCTTCTGACCCGCTTTTCTCCAATTATTATAACATTGCTGTTTATTTCATTTGTTTTCTTTTGTGAAAAGTTGTCTGTCTTTTTCACAGAACACTGGTCATCATTCTGACCAAGACTAACTCCTTGTCTTGGCAAATGACCCATGCCTGTATTTACACCGAGCTGAGTTGAATGCTTTGACAGCTCCAATTGTGCAATACTGAGGGTTTCGGAATCGTCCTTTTCTGTCACACTGGAAATGCTTTCCACTTGAACTGCTTTGTGTTCTGCTGAACCACTGCCACTCACAAAAGATTGCCTTGTGTCTTTTTTCCTGCCATCAATGATTTCAAATGCTTCATGAAGGCTGACAAATTCTTGTGTAGAAAGGTTATTTGTTCCTGTACATGGCAGTATATCACTTTCAATGTCATTATCTGCCTTGTGGGTAGTGCTTGGAGCTGTGGAAACGGTAGATTTCACGCCAGCCACATTACTAGTAGCATTGGAAAAAGAATTTCCAAGATGTTCAGCAGCTTCCACAAAATTTTGAACACCACAGAATTCAGTTTGCAACGGACTGACTGTTTTGGTTTTATAACCCTGTCTCACTGCTACTGAAGATTTGTTTCCAGGTACTGGACTATCACCAGTATAACATTCCAGCTGTTGGACTAAGGGCTGGTCTTCTTCAACATTGGGACTTTTAAGACATTGTTCTTTTGAACTCTCTATTTTGGCTGTCTCTTCAGGAAGCATGGTGAGTGACTGCTGGCTAACATCACAAGGATCAATTCCCTCCTTTACTTCGGAAATATTTCTCCTGCTCTGAACTGTTGCTTCAGGCAAAAAACCACCAGGGTGCTGCTGGTTAATTATAGCAAACTGATTTTGTGCATCAATTGCCCTACGTTGATCAGATAATACTTTCAGGTTTGTCTGGGTTTCTGGTTTATTTATAGCCACCAATTGTTCATTATCTGAAGCTGTGGTAGATATTATATTTTCACGATGTGATGGACTTACATTGACAAGATTAAGTGGCCTTGCTACATTTGTTTGCAGTTCTGGGGCTGACTTTCTATTTTCTGAGATAATTGAATTGTTATGAAATCCAGTTGTTTCAACTGAAGTCAAGTCAGATGGAGAAATAGCTTTGAATACGTCTTCTGATTCCTTTTGTGAATCATGAGTGCTACTATCGACATCCATGTAGAATTCCTGAAAACTCAATGATCCAGTACAACAGTCAGTCATTGAGATGTCATCTGGCAAACATCCAACAGCACCCTCTCTGGATGCACTGGTCTCTACTGATCCATCCTTTTTAGTAGCTTTCTCTAATGAACTGGAAGATGAAGAGTCCTCGTAAGACAATTGCATAGAGTCCACTTTTTCATCGTTGTCTGATACATCTTTCTTTAGCCATTGATGCTCCACAGCAGCTTCAGCAGCATAAGGATGCCTTTTCAGGGTATACCATTCCTTTTGAATTTGAGAAACACTGATTATTTTACCTGTACCAAATTTCTGATCTTCCTTCGCAGGGAACTGCAAGCTGCAAGCTTTTTCTTGGTGCTGAGTATATTCTGCATTCTCCAATTCAACAGTTTCAATTTTATCACACATAAGAAGCTCCGAAAACTCCAGATTTCTGCTTCTGTTTGACCGATTCCTGATCTCAGCTGATCGAGACTCCCTACCTTGGTTCACAGGGTCTTCTGGAGCTTCTTTTGGTATTGTTGTGTTCTGTGTTATATGGAGATGCTCATTCACAATACCAGCTGCTAGGCTATGCCTCTCTTGCCTTTCTTCTGTTAGACATGTCTGCGATACTAATTCATTTGCATTGGTGTCTCCATCTGTTCCTACTGGTTGTTGATTGTTATTCTTTACTTCCTTTTTGTTGCCTTCTTTGTCTGTGCAGAATGTGCTATTCTGAAATGAAGAAGTCATTTTGTCTTCCTTTCCTTTTCAGTTTAATATTCTTGATTACTTGTGAACTGTTAGTAATCAAAAAGTCTCTAATGTGTCTCTGTTTCCCTAAAACGGAAATATTATATGCTTTGCCTTGACAATGACAACTTGTTAGTAAAAGTACGTCTTGTGAGACAGAACGTACTGATAGAATGTTCTTTCCTCAGCCAATTTGGAGCATTACAAGTGTGTTAGACTCTTTCTCACTGTAGATTTTTTCATCATGTATCTTCCTTTTCTTTCACTTTAATTTATTCATTTTGTCATTCCTTAAATACTAATTTCACACTCCTCAACAAACCAATTTATTTATCCTTGTCGCTGCACTTTTTCTGTGAGGTTTTCTCAGATTCTTTCGAAATGTGACCCGTTGGTTTGTGGAACCTGTAAAAAGCAAATACAGAAACAGACCATCAATCTCTGCATTCGAAGCATTAGCCAAGTGCACAAACTATTCTTACCCAACAGCTTGCAACAAAATACCTGACGAACTCAGTGGAATTTAACACTACAGGTACAGACCCAGCTTTAATGTCATGCTCCAACACCCAGCCTAAAAGGACAACAGCCAGGAAGACAAGTCTCTAACATAAATCCTAGTATAGTAACAGAAACCATCCCTTGGTTATTCGTGGATCACTAACTCACCTCTGATCGTGGCAAGATCAAATAATTTTCAGTTTTGATGCAATATCAGTAGCATTTTATTGCCATTTACCTTGTACTAGAATACAAATTTCACCAGTTACCTTTTAAATCATTGTTGTTGTGGCATTTGGTCCCGTCTCTTAGTTTCCTTTTCTTTTTAATACAGTACATTTTTGAACACAGTAAAAACATCTCTAGAAGAGCAGCTGTGCTGACAACAATGTACGGTAGGTGCCACAGTGGATAAATAATTAAATGCAACTACAATGCTCAAGCTTTTGCACTGTTACCCTGAAAATGTCACTGCCTCAGATCAAAATAACAATGTATTTTTTTAACACTCGAAAATCCATAGCTACCCTCTCCCAAATGAAAGGCAGAACATGGCCATAGTGTGGATAATGCTGGGGGGTGAAAAATCTGCTCAGCGTTTTGACTGGAGTAAAAATTCTGCCAGTGGTGTAAAAAGAAAATCTCCTGTCAACACTTAGTTTCAAGAAATTATTAAAAACCATTTGGCTTCATGCTTTCAATAGGGCAGAAAACTTTTGCTACAGGGTTTAATGAATCTCAATGTTTCTCAATCTCAACACAGAAAGCTACCACAAAGCTGCAGCAGGTAATCAGGAAGGCTAATGAATGTTGATCCTTATTTCAAGGGAGTTGATGTGATAGAATAGTGAAGTCTTACTGCAACTATACAAGGTGCTGGTGAGACCACATCTGTGTACTGTGAGCAGTTTTGGTCTCCTTATTTAAGGAGAGATATATTTACACTGGAGGCAGTTCAGAGGAGGTTCAACAGGAAGATCTCTGGTATGGAAGGATTGTCTCATGAGGAGAAGTTAAACGGGTTCGTACTCTACTCACTGGAGTTTAGAAGAATGAGAGGTGATCTCATTGAAACATACAGGATTTTTAAGGGGCTTGACAGGGTAAATGCTCAGAGGATATTTCCCCTCATGGGAGAGTCTAGGAAAGAGGGCATAGCCTTAGAATAAAGGAGCACCAATTTAAGAATGAGATAAAGAGGAATTTCTTCTCAGAGGGTTGAAAATCTTTGGAATTCCTTGCCACAAGATAAGATTGAGATAGATAGATTCTTGGTTAGTAGGGAAATCAATGGTTATGGGGAATAGGCAGGAAAGTGAAGGTGAGGAATGTCAGGTCAGCCATGATCCCATTGAATCGTGCAGCAGGATGGATGGGCTGAATGGCTTTCTCCAGTTCCTATTTCTTATGGTCTTATGATTTATTGCTTTGGGAGTGTTGTAATTTCAGAGTGAGCATGAAATAAGCAAGTTTCTGCCCAATTTGCATATTCCAAATTATGGGCGGAGTAAGGGCAAAGACACATCGGTCGTTCACCACAACTCTGTAATGGCAGCAACTTGGGGGAAGTTCTGAAACGTTCCAGAGTTACCAAAGATTTCTAATAGAAACATTGGATAAACCCACTGTATCTATACGTGCTCAGTCCATCATACACCTCACGCTGGGTCTAACGCACCAGTCCTAGGAGTCCAAGAAATCAATTACTCATACAAGTTATTCAATCTTTCCAATTGGACAGCACAGAATCTCATCTAAATGATGATGATACTTTGGGTCTCATGCTTCCACTTTCCAAACGACAGTGTCACTCCAAGTTTTCAGCAACAAAACAGTGATAAAATGTAAGGTCAGGTCAGGTCTGTTGACAGAAGCTGGTTCACACATATGTCAGTGAACAGAAACACTGTTGTTAATTATAAATATTAACTCACTACATTCATGGAATATGGCAAAAAAGGACAGGTCTGGAGCCTTACAGACTCAGGCCCTTGTTCAATGTGATTTGATGTCCTTGTGACATAGCTCTTTGCGCACATGGTCACTAGTAATTATTAGCCTAAAGGTGTTTCCTGGCACAGCACATTCTCTCCAAATATTTAAATGATTCCATACCTGGCATTTGTGTCAAGATCATCTTCCGGCAGAAATTGGTGCCTGCCACATGTCTGGCCCCTTGGCTATTCCTATAGAGCTACTCCTCCCCTTATCTAGACACCTTTGGACATTAGGATCCACCATTGAGATTTTTGTTACTTGTAGCTAATAATACTATCATAAGGCTACTCCTAACATTGTAGTAACTTTGTTAAAGGCAATTCACTGGTAATGGGCTGATTGCTCTGATCTGGTTCATGACATTGGTTCTGGATTGAAAGGCTTGTCCTGTGATGAGAGGCTGAGCAAATTGGATAACATTCTTAGACGTTCAAAGACCAAGAGATAATAACATTGAAACCTTCAAGATTATGAAAAGGCTCAGCAGGATAGAAACTGCAAGGTTGTTTTTCTTGAGTGGGAAATCTGGAATAAAGACGCATCGTTTCAGGGTAAGAGGCTTAGGAATGTGATGAAGAGAATGCTTTTTCAAAGAGTCATGAATCTACCCTTGAAGGTTGTGATTGCTCCTTAGTTGAATATATTCAAGGATTAGATAAACAGATTTTATTAACTTTTCTCAGGCAATTAAGGGATACAGGGAGCAAGGAGGAGGGTGTGAGTGAGGCCGAGGTAGGAGATCAACCATGATCATAATGAATGGTAGAGCAGACTTGAGAGGCCAAATGGTCTATTATAACTATTATTTCTTATTTCTGTGCCCACCCTATTCAACAGCCGTTTTCATCAGAACAGATACCATTGATGACTGTTCGATGGTCAAAAGAAATAGACTTTGTGCCCAGGATTCCTGTTAATGCCCTGGCTGTAAGTGTCACTCTCCAGAAAAATGTGGTATCAGAAACCTGGGTTCAAATGTTCACTGTGGAGCTGCATACCCAATGTTGGAGAAATTCCAGACTTGGAACACCTTCCTCGAAAGAAACAGTTTTGAAAGGCCAGATTTTCATTCCAGGAGAAACAAACGTCATATACATAGCCCACATTAAAGAAAACCAATTCCTTAACAAACTCTTTGAGCTATCAGTTAAGCTATGAAAACATGGCCACCCACTGTGATAATGGAAGATTGTGGAAACAGTCAAGCAGTGAAAGTACCATAATGACAGCCCACAGGCTTACATCAACAAATAGCTATTAAAACTGCAAGTGCTGTTTGATTTTCCCCCAACTCCAAATTACAGCAGGCTTTTATTTTCAAAATTTAAAGAAAAGAAGTTTTAAATAACTTTACAGCTTGACTGCTCCACATTCATGCCTAATCTTGTAAACCGTAATTTACACACTGTAGGAAACAGACCTCTCTCCAGCAAAGATAGCATCTATTTGAACTCTGCACAGAAATCAAATGACCCTGCTAAATTACATCTGTGCATCACATCCTATCATTTTCCCTCTCCGATTCCGCAAAGATAGAGTCTATCAAAAATAAGTGCCAGGTTTCTGGATCCAGGGTCCTGATTTCTTTTTATTAGGGCCTGATCTTAAAATATTCTCTGGGATGATCACTTGAGATCATATTATAGTCTAGGACTTAGACTTGACTTGAGAAAGCCTAATCACATTTGAACTATTCTTTTGTAAATCTTCATCCTTGGAACATTAATAAGGGGTATCCGTCCCTTTGAATATCTATATGGCCAACGCATCTGATATAATAATTTTCCTAAAAAAATAACACTGAAAATGATTTTTGTCTGAAACTGCACTGAATAGAAAAAAAACCCTTTAATTTGCGCTTGAGGTACCAATCATGTTGAAATGATAGTATGGGATCATGGCATTCTCATTGTCTCAGTCATAGGGAG